AAAAAAAAAAAAAAAAAAAAAAAAAAAAAAAGGCAACAAAAAACTCGGAAGACAAAACTGCTCAGCAGTTTCTTAAGCAGTAAGAAAAACAATAAAAAACAACCTGCCTTATTCTGCTGGGTTACAGAAAAAATTTTCTGCACAACTTATGAGGATGAAAGATTATAATTCCACAATAAACTGAATAAATACGTTTTTTTAAAAAAGAAATTAAAAAAAAACCGTAAAACAATCTGTAAAAGTGAATAGATATATAAATGACGGTAAAACATAATACAAAAACTTGTTTTCCTTTTTTTAATTAACAATCAAAATCTACTTGAAAAATATGTGGTCTTAAAACAAAACAACAATAAAGAACCATTCGAACATGAAAAGAAACAGCAAAAAGAAAAAATTATTCCGTGAAAACTGTATTCGAGAAATCAATTAAAAATTAAGAAGACTCTCCTTTAATAATCAACAGAAAAAAAATACAAAGTTCCTGATATGTGTAAAAGAATCAATTTTTGCAATCTTTTTAGGTGTAACAAGCCTCAGTATTACTACATCACGTCAACACGTCCAATTCGTTAAGTGTAAATAAAACAGCTCGTCCCGAAAAAAATCCAAAAAAGAAATTATGAATTACATAAAAGGACCTCTAAGATCTAAAAGAAATAACATTTTAAATAACAATGGACTTGTTCGCGCTGCCTTCGTCCATTGTCTCGCAATGAACGGAGCCGATAAGGACAACATCGGATGCCAATCACCGATCAAGGTTACATGAATAACACTGTTGCCCGCGAAGCGTTCCTTCCTAAAGTACAAAACGAAGTTCGTTTTCAAAAACACCTTTGAATAAAACCAAAAACATTTCCTCAGTATTTGCACTGCCAAATGAAATAAACAAATAAAATTTCCAAACCCATTAAATACGAACAACATATGCTTCACTCTCCTAAAACTTGAAATTCGAAAAATTTTGACATATACAGTTCTCTTGTTTATAACGAAGAAAGGTTTAAAAAAGTTACGCTGGCAAACACGACATCAATAACGATATTAACAAAGATAAGCAGTAACAACAACAATTACAATAACAATAATGATAAGAGCGACAGAACTACAAAAAATATTAATAGAACTCTTGCTGTAATCATTACTATCATTACTATTACTACTGTCATTATTAATGTTATTTTATTACTCTTATTATCATAATTAATACTAACAATAATAGTGAAAAGAACAATAATGATGGCAACAATATTACTGTAAATAATAAAAAAAAAAAAAACAATGGTAACAGTAAGAAAAATTTTTCAAATTTTTACAAATCAAATCCACGTTTTTGCAACTGACAGAAAACTTCCAGTTTCAATTTGGTACGGATAAAAACCACTTTTAACTGAACCTTCATCACCAATTCCCTTCTCGTAATAGCAAATGAAAATAAAAAAACTAAATTCACACGCATAAAAACTAAAAAAACTAAATTACACAAACATAGAAAGATGCTCCGATAAACAGTTAACTGCAAAATACAAAATAAGAAAACGCTGCTTGAAACTGACCGTCCGCACCCTGAATTTTCTAAACTGATAAAAAATGTTCAGACTTAAACGCCTAACTAGCATCACAGACTAATTTATAATTTTACTGGATCAAAAATTTTATCTTCTGCTCTACAGTAATTCAAAAATTACAAGTGAACAACTGCATAAATGCAATAAACGCCACTTGACTGCATCATCCATCAGAACGACAACAGGATCAAGGTGAAACAACACTCGCAAAGACTTCTCAATCTTTATTTCTATAAACTTTAAACCTCAAAAACCAAGAAAAGTGGCTAAAACGCTCACGGTAAAAAACGATAACTGCAAAAAACATTACATTAAAAAGCATTATTTCACCCAGTAAACGAATAATAAAGTAAACTAAAGTCTTCCAATTACTGTGACACAAAACGAGACTACAAGGGCAGAAACTATCCGAAAAACTTATTTCCATCTTCCTGGCCATTATGTTACTCAAACCCTTAATGACTGAAAATAGGTTGATAACACCCCTCCCCGAAAAGCTGAATACGCCCAAAAATGAATTTCGGTTGTCTGACGCAACTCCAAAACGTAGCTCTGCTATCAGAAATAGAAGATTAAATCGCGGATATACCTCAGTCCACCTACATGAAAACCACAAATACGTCCTAAGTGGAATACCAAATACACAGAACCGGTACTTGTGATGCGCTAGGAGAGACACTACTTGACACTTCATGTAACAAAGGTGCAACCACAAATTCTTTACCTTATCCCTCATTAGCCTCTGCTGTTCACTGCTTGAAGATAACACTCAAATAAATGTATCAAACCTTAATTGTAGAAAATTCATCTTCAATACCTTAATTTATGGAACACATCCTCACATCTCTTAGCTTCAGTACCTTAATCAAACAGTGCGACATCCTTTTCATTAAGCTTATCGTCATCTGTTCCCCTTAAAATTCAGAGAGTGAAAATCGACGCGCAAGTTTCTGTTCCATCTAAAACTCAGCATCCAAACGTGCCTTTTCGGCACCATAAAAAAACCAATTCTTCAAAACTAAATGAGCGACAAAAACCAACGAAAAGTAACCATTCGATATCGTAGGAGAAAGAGTATTTGCGCATTCTCTGTCACAAAAAACAAGCCCTTGATCTTCAACAGGAAATTTAACCAAACACAAGTGAGTCAGGATGGTAACGATTCTACGTAATTTTTGTAGGCAGTGAATGCCTCCATTTTAACTGATTTCTTCTTTCCTAATCGCAGTAGGACTCAACAACCTTTGAATAATAACAAAAGTGGCTAAAAATAGTTAAGACTAAGATCAAAGATAGCAGGAAAAACAAATGCACATAAAATAACCTGAATAAAGGTGTTACATGAAATAAAATGCGCTTTTAAAACTACTAAAAACAAACCACGACAATTTCAAGCAATGCCTTTTAGATAAAAACCCTTTCCTAATGAAAGAAACTACTACCACCTAGAAAAAAAGAAAAATTAAGTCGACTTGTTTTTTTGCGGCCTTTTACAACAGAACTGATACATATCCCTTATAGTCTACAATACGGTACTAACCCTTCATTTTTTCGATACTTATTAAAAATTTGAAAACCTGGGTAATCCTAGTCATCATTCCTGCTACTCTTGTCTCCTTTGACCACCTTGATTCTTCTTAATGCAAACAATTCTTTCACTTCCTTTCAGAAAAGAAATCAGTGTCTACCAATAAGTTTCAGACATTTAAGTCGTTGGACTGACACTAAGAGCTTAGCCGGAATGTGGTCCACCAAAAAAACTACAAAAGAAAAAAGATTAAAGAAGAAAATGAAAGGTGTGTATTCTCGAACCAATATCACATTTCTCTCCATACTATTCTAATAACCCTTCCTCACCGGAACTATCGGACTTGAATGCAACGCTTACCAGTAGATCGTTTCCGCCAAACTGTAAGTTATCATGACCTTGTTTCATCCATGAATCCGCGCCTTCATTTATGCCAATACCAGAAGAAAAGAAAAAAAAAAAAGCACACTGCGCAACTATTGATAAACCGATGTTTGTTGCACTCTCATCAAAAGTATCCAAATCATCAGCACACACAACTATCACAGGAACTATAATAAACAACAATTCGAATTCATATCCTGGAAGAAATCTGACAAACTCTTTGCAAGTTTTACAGTCACTGCAAAATGTTGAAATGTTAAAAACAAATGATGCACACATGACAATGGTTGCATTAGGGGGGAGGGGGAGGGGGACGAGGGGGGAGAAGAAAAAAGTGAAAGAAAATTCGATAAAAGCACAAAAACGTACATGAAACTTTTCGGGAAATAATATCCCAAAAGAAAGAAGAAACGAGAAAAAAAAAAGAAACAAAAAACGCCACAGATCGAAAAGTCGACGGTGAAATCGAAAAAAAAAAAATTAAAGACAAAAAAAGAATACAATTAAAAATGATCAAAATCCAAGGAAAAAAATGAGCATCTGTTTTTGCAGGAACTCAAAATAATAAACAGAAAATTTTCTATTTTTTTATTTAGTTTTTTTATTTACTTATTTACGCTGAAAGCCGCAACGCATTTCGATTTCGTAATCGGAGATTTATGCGCGTTGCGTGTTGCGTTGCCGTTAGCGGCAATGAGTTTGTTTGCTGTCGTTGTTGTTGTTGTTGTTGTTGTTGTTGTTGTTG